AGGTCTTCCAGAATTTGTTGGATTTTCATATTCAGCTATAATTTCACTGAAACTAATATTATCACTTTCTGCAAACAATATCACCTTTTCTACCACCGTAAATTAGGTTCCCTGTGTCTTTCCTATAAATATTTTCATGGTAATTGTTCTGGTAATCTTTCCTCTTTGATACCTTGATTTTATAAATTTAAGTGCAATACTAGATTGGTAGCTAGGTCTCATCATCTTACAGTTGAAATTGCGAGATGTAACTGTAAGTTCTATGCTAACAGTTTCTACTGGCTTCTTGCTTTTCCAGTCAACTTTGGCAATGTCAATTGTTATCGTGTGTTTTCTTCATTTCTGTTCTATTATTGTTCTCTCTTCTTAATAATGCTTTTCTTTTTTTTCATATTCTTTCACATTCAGTAAGCTCTTGAGTTCTAATGGCTTTATTGCTTTGAAATGATTAAGAAAATGCTGAAAATTATGCACATACAAGTAATAAAGTACTGAATAAATTTTAAAGACTCTTCTAAGATCTCTCTAACACTGTGCTAAAAATGAAGCTGAAAATATCTGCTCCTTTTTTATATATATATATATATATATATATATATACATCAATATTCAAAAAATAAGCTAAAAATAACAAACTACTATACCCCATTCACTGCAAAGAAAGATTCAAAATCCTAGAAGCTATTATTATATAAAAATCAACCCAAATTATATATCTTTTACCACAGAAAACAGTATGGTGTGTATAAAATATTTGATATGTGTTAAAACAAAATAATAATATATTATAAATATTTCATACAACCTTTTCCAGTGTGGTCTTGTTCCATGTAACTATTTTATACATAACATCCCTGGATTAATTTAAAACCCAACATAAAAGAATAAAAAATAAAAATAAGAGGATGCAGCTAACAAAATCTTGTCTACCACACTGAAAACACCCAATTCTTACTTTTATGACAGACATGGTCAAATGTACTTGAACTAAAACTGAATAAAACATGATCTTCAAACAGTTTATCCACAATTTTGGTCTTGTTCTACAACATCTTATTTGAAAATTGAAAAAATATAATGGAAAATTAAACAGACCAACTTCATCAGTTGAATTTAACAAAACTTGCTTGGATAAATTATTTCTACATAAATATACCTTATATGTAGAAATGAACACTTTATATAATTACATATTTATCTATTATTTATATTTAAAGAGAAAACAATTTACTAAAACAAAAAATGTGTAGAAAGTGCTGTAATTGCTAGATCATTTACAGTAAATTTGTGACCAAGGTTCTTACAACATTTCACCATTCTTGGCAGATCTATTATCAAAATGTGGGAAATTTAATAACAAATGTGATGGAAACATAAACAAAAAGGAAAAGAATTTAAATAAAATCAACGAGATTATATACCTGAAACATATTAAATTAAAAAAAATATTAATTTTAAATTCTCATGAACATCAGTTTAGTCTGATGAATTCCTAAAAGATGAAATGCATCACACAAAAACTTTGGCCATTTTGTCATACTTTTTTCCAATAAAATTGTTCTTGATACATAAAAATTTATATATTTTCCCCATATTTATCTTTCTCAGACTGTTTATATCTATCCATCTAAGTGTATTCTTTCCTATTCTATCTGCCTAAATCTATCTCGTATATCCATATCTATATATATATTTTATTTTCTTTCTCTTTATATATATATATATATATATATATATATATATATATATATATATATATATATATATATATATATATATATATATATTATGAAATGGACAAAGCCCGACAATATCAGTTAACATCCCAAAATTATGCATAATAGCCAAATATCAGAATTTTGGAGAGAAGAGTTTTTTTCACCATCTCCTCATATATATATATATATATATATATATATATATATATATATATATATATATATATATATATATATATATATATATATATATATATATATATATATATATATATATATATATATATATATATATATATATATATATATATATATATATATATATATATATATATATATATATATATATATATATATATATATATATATATATATATATATATATATATATATATATATATATATATATATATATTTATGGAAGAACTACTCTATTAAATATATGTGAGCATATACACTATATTAGATTTTATTATGTATGTTTTCATAATAAAATTGGTAATAACCAATCTGTGTCAGTAAAATTTACAGGATTTACTTTGATAATATACCATGGGTATTTCATCTTATGATCTTATGATATCTGATTTTATTAGAATAATTAATTTGCTGGTGTCAAATTTTATTATGCAACCCCAGGGTTGTTATGTTATTGTAAATAAATATAATAGTAATAATAATATAGCTACTGGCATTTATTTTTTAAGTTCAGATATATAAAGATTGCCATGGAGTTTAAGAAAGATGTAATATCAAAAGAGAAACAAGATATTGCAAAGTTACTGACAGATGTAGGCACAATGTCAAAAATTACAAAAAAATAAATAGATACCATAAAACAAAAAAGAAATTGAAAACATTATCAAGACAAGAACAAGAAAAAGACTGGCTTTAAGTATTTTACAAAAATATTTGAGAAAAATTAAAAAGACAAATATTTGAAAATGCTGATGGGAATATAAACAGAGAAAAGATACTGAATATTAATAACACTGGCTAAACACACAAAAGGTAACTAAAACCTTTAAGTAAATATCACAAAGAGAGATATGTAAGGACATAAAAGAAGGACATGGAGGCAAATTTCTCAATAGTAATTTTTAGTGATGAATGTAGAGCTATATTGGATGGTCCTATTAGCTCGGCTAGAGGTGAATGTTTTGTGGAAATAGTCAATCACCATGACTGGGAACACAACAGGAGATGTGTAGATTAATGTTTCGGGTTAGTATTTTAGGCAGTAAAGTTATAATTCCCTTAAAAGTTGACAATGGTTTCAACATAAAAGCCAAGAATTATGGTAGGTTCTTAGACAAGATATTTTTTGAGTGATACCGGTTACAACCTTGAAACTTTAAGCTAAAGAGTATATTCATACAATGCTCCTTCATATTTTGTAAAGCTGACTATTGCTCACTCTTCTAAAAAATACTCTGTTACAAATAATGTTATAGTTGAGACAGCAGCAAATTAACAAACTTCATCAGTTTTTTATAAACTGATGAAGTTATAAAATATCAAGGAATCCATATTAACATGTGAAATAATAGAATAATATATTCAGCTAAAGTATATGAGATACTGTATCAATCAAATATATGTTTTTCTGGCCTATATTTTTCAGATTTATTTATAAATAAAACTTTATATTGTACTTTGCATAATAAAACCTGACATGCCCCAAAACAATTTATTTTCAATAGTTTTAATAAGAATAGATATTCTAAGCTAAAATTCACACAGTTTATTATTCATATAAAATATATTTATATTCTGAAAATTTTATCAACAACAGTTGGATAATAGTAATAGCAATTTTATTGTAAGATTATTGACTTTGAAGAAAAAAATCTAATGCAGTGTATAGTTTTTGTTTTTTTGTTAAGGGCTTATGAATGAAAAAGAATAAGAATATGCACAAACTTCTGTAGGAATACATAGTCTGTGGCATGCTTCTTTTAGAGGATTGCATTATTTTCATATCTACTTAGCTTCCTTAGTTTATCACAAAAACCTAATAAATGAAGATCTATATTCAACAATCAACATTGATGGCTTGTAAGACCAGCTGATAGTCAGAGACAGACATAAAAATAATGAGATAAAAATAGTTAAGACAAATTTCAGATGTTATACACACACACACACGAAACGTTGAAGAAAAAACAGTAAAAGTTATTTTCTTGTTAGTAAAATATTTGTTGGACTAAAAAACAAATTTTGGGAAACTTTCTGTTGAAGGCTAAAAATTCCCCCAAAATTTTTTAAGTGAGACATGCATGCTAGTTGCAAAAACAAAAATGATCTCTTTTTTAATTTTAAAATAAATAGCTGAGACGAACTGAGAATGACAGATATTGCTAATGAATGATTCCAAGGAGTCATAGAAAAATCTGACGAATAGGGAAAAACAGGTGAAAAGTGCTTGCTTACCTGTATTGGTCAAACGTAGGAAATATGATAAGTGATCGTTTTAACGGAACTCCTCACAGACAAGGCTCATTTATGTCAATGTAGGTCGTAGTTTCGTGATGAGAGGAGGTGGAGGTACAATTAAAAAAAAAAGGAAGAAGAGACAACGCCGGTTGACTACTGTGGCAACTAATCACTTCAATGAGAAATTGTACAGTACAGGTGGCAGTGAGAAGGTGGGCGATATTATTACGATTAGAAACAGTGACAGTGGGAAGGCACAGACAGAAAGGCTCAAGGTACTCGCCTCTTCAGCAACTTTCATCTTATCACACACACACACAAAAAAAAAAAAAAATCAAAAACGAAAAAAAAAACAAAACTGATTACGTTGTAGACGAGGTTTAGTTGGTGAGTTAGAGATGAAGTAATGAATGAGTTCAAAACCTAGCCCAAACCGGACATAACACATTCTTCTTTTACATATCAGTTGTTTTTATTTTTACTCTGGTTGTTTGAGTTTTTCGCCGCGAACGTCGATTTTATAACGACTAAGAAGTAAAAGTTTTTTTGAGCTTCGTTTTTGGGTGATACAATAATTTGCTGTTCATCTTTCTTTTTCTTTCTGAGAATTCCCCATCATTTTTGGAAACAAAGCTTTTATCTACATTGTAAGTGTATGCTTGCTTTTTAATAAACTATGGATTTTTTTCTTTTTTGACTAGAGATTTCTAGCAAGCTTGAGACATTTGAGTAAAAATGAATACAGGTAGACTTCTTTTTTTTTTAAATTTTTTTTTTTTATTTTTACAAGCGAATAATACGCGTCTCCATCTCCCTCTCTCTCACACATACAAACTTTCTCAGGCTCTACAGAGGAAGTGACAGACAGGTATCACACACTCCTTTACCTGCCGGCATCAGCAGTTGAAACCTCCAAGCAAGGAGAGATAGAACCTTTCTATGTTTGGGCAGGCGGGGATTGGGGTCTGGTGCGAAGTAAGTGAGAAAAGTCAAAATCAGGTTGGGTGGCGGAAGAGAAGAGGTTGATTGTGTGTGTGGAGAGGGCTGAAAGATATGGGTGTTATCAAGGTGAAATCCAATATTTCCTTACAGTTCTGATATTTCTCTTGAACTGTGAATTTAAGTCTATAGACATGTGAAAGAGACAGAGAGAGAAAGAGAAAACCTGTGCCAAATTCGGTTACACAATCTTTCTCCCAGAGATTCAAATTCATGTTTGCAGTGGCAACATTATTTGGCAGCTGACTTAGGAACCATCCAGTCAACCTTCTCAATTCCAGGTGGAGGGGAAGGAGGGGATAATTTTAATAATCAATTGAATTTTTATTTTTCAAATAAAAGATGTTAAATTAAATTAAAATTTTGGTTACCAACATAAGAGGTTGAGAAAGAACAATAGAAGTGATAAATTACTGATTAAAATTTCCTCTTGGTACATCTACTTTTCTCCTTTATATCTCATTCCACTGCTCCCACCTGTGTACTTCCTTACCTAAATTATCAGTCTCTATATATTAGATTCTAAAAAGTTCCCAGCCCAATCAAGAAGCTCTTAAAAAATATCTGATGTTTAGTCATTGGAATACTGATTTTGGGAAATGGGTTTGGACAATAATTTTTCAGCATCTTCTTGTAATAAGGAAAGAAGGCTAGGAAGATTTAGCACTCACAGGGCACATCAAAGACAGAGAATGCAGAGGGTAACAAGTTTGAGCAAATGGATAGCGGGACAAATACCACAAAGATAAGAAGGAATCATAAGGAAGTAAGCATTAGTGAGAACAACAAAAACAAGAAACTGTGGAGAACCATGATTACCCCAGTCCTGAAGTGACATGGCATATAAAGGGAATGCAAAAAACAGTTATACATTATATGCTATTTTGCTTATACTAATATCCTCATTATGTTTGTTAAGTAAATAAACTTACTGTGTGGTCAATTTTTGAACTTAGTGCAAAAATTTCATATACTTTGATTCAGTAAAAGAGATAAGTAACATAAAAAGGATGAATTAACCAGATAGAATTAACTGATACAAGATATCCTTTAGCATGGACAGAAGAATCTATTCCACAGATTGAATAAAGGAATTGGTTTGAAACTCTCAGGTCTATACTGAGAATGAAAGACTCCTGAAAAAGGCCAAATGGTACAATGACCAAAACATTATAATGACAACAACTAAAATGATGATACTAATCCTACCTAATCAGTGTATCCTCCTCCTCATCATCATCATCATTGTAATAATAATAATAATAATAATTCTAATAATAATAATTCTTAAAATTTTCAGATCAAAGTAAAGATTTATATGCTCAGTAAAATTTCTCAGTTTGGTCTAAAAACAAATTGTAACCAATAAATGAATGTATTACTGTCACAAATATAAAATTTATAAGATCTATTTTAAATTATTAAGTAAGTAATTGTAATGAAGCAATAAGAAGAAAATGCTTGAGAAATATATGTTAAAATGCTTATTTGACTAATAACATAATGTCATTATTCATATTAGCTAAAACAGTCTCTTTGTATTTCATTAGTAAATAAAAAACTAAAAATACTTGGAAAAAATATATTGAGGATAGTAATTTAATTCCTCAAGAAAAAAGAAAGAGAACAATTTTTTATTTTATTTTACTAATGTTTCATTTTAATTTTTACTTCTTTTTATTACAACTTTTTGACCACTATTATATATAGGTTATGTTATTATGGTTAGTAATAATAGTAGATTATATACATTATAATATGATGTTTAATAATAATAGTAGAATATATAGATACTGACCCATTGCCCAAAATCTGACTAAATAGGTTTTTCAACACCTTCTTGTATATGATGTTATATGAAATGAAGTAATAATTTTTAGAAAATTATCTAAAGATTTCAAAATGAAGAGCCAGTGTTAGAGGTTAGAATTGAAGAAAATTAAAAGGTTAATAATTTGATACAAAATCTAGTACATGTGACACCATATGTGAAAGGAAAAAAAGTATATCATCTCTTGTGATAATAATATCCAGAGAACCATACTAAGAAGTGCAAAAAGTAAAGGTGTATATGAGTTTGTTAAGGAGAAAATGTGTAAGTAATCAGAATCAAATAAAACTCTACATAGGAATCAGTGTTCAGGAGAACTAACTTGTTTAACCAAAAGAAATGGTTTAAAAACTTTTCATACATAAATTTGATAAGAAAATGGTACTACTGATAAAGTATAATGAATAAAGCAAATTTCTGTGGATCCCATAAAATGCTTTTTCTCTGTCATTACATACTTGCAGATAATAAATATCTGATTAAACAAGAAAAATAATTCATAGGTATAGGTTGAAAAAATATTTTGCCTATTTTAGATGATTTTTATATATTTTCGAGTACTGAATTCAAAAGTGAAAACAATTTTTTCTCCTTCATGTAACATTTTTTGTAAAACACTTTTTTTTAGTTATCACTCTAAGTTTGTGTAATAAATATGAATTCAGTACTTTCTAATATTAAATGCATTTTTTCAGCAAGTTATTTTATCAATAAGCTAGAATCTGGAACATCACAAAGTGATGAATCATACCATTAGGATGCAACATATTTAACAGTTGTACATGTCTGGTGTTAAAGTGTGTGATACAATGTCTAATGTCACATGAAATGTTTATAAATCTTATTATTAAATTTGCAATGTTTAACCTCTATGTCTGTAAAAAAAATGGTGTATCAAAAGGTCAGTTATTCCCTTTATGCCACTATTATTGTATATACTTTTGACTCCCTTGGCAATATTTATTGTTTTAAAAAGGGATGATTAGTATTTTAATAAAATCCAGATGTATGAAAGTGGATTTATGCATTTTCTTTATCTGTGAGAATTGACAACAACAATATTAAACATTATTCATTTATTAGATTGAATAAAAAAAATTGTTTTTATACTTATTTATATAATGGTAAATAATAAATATTGCATAGTAGTTGGTTTACATATTTTGATAATTTTGTAGTTATAAATTTTTGAATGCAAAGATTTCTTTTCAAATTTGTTTCTTTATAAAATGGTGAATAATAAATCTTTATAAAAGGTAAATGATAAATATAGCATTGTATTTGGTTCACATATTTTTATAATCTTGTAAAACAAAATTGCCGAGGGAGTCAAAGGTGTATACAGTAATAGTAGTGTCAAGTGAGTAGCTGTCCTTTTGACACTTCAATTTTTTGTGGGTTAAACATTGCTATTAAATTATTATTTATTTACACATCATCAGAACATAAATATTTAAAGTTATTTTGTAATATTGCCAAGAAGTGAAGGTAGTTAAAATAATAGCAGTGTCAATGGAAAAACCGTCCTTTTTTTTTTTTTTGACACTCCATTTTTTGCAGTCATGAAGGTCCAAGTTTGCCAAACATTGATATATGACCAAATGTACCTTCACATTATCTTTCTTATTAATTTAATATCAATCTTATATTTCCAAGTGACCATTTTTAATTTGTAGTTAATGTATATAAGCCAAAAGCAATAATTTATTCCAAAAAAGACAAGAGTATCTTTGTGGTATATCTTCCACTGAATTTTTCATATTGTCATCTATTGTAATCAGCTGCTGAAACATTATTAGTTCAGCAACTGGAAATCCAATCCCTATGCTTACCTGCAACTGTCCAATCTCAGCAGCATTATGTAAAGGTGTTGCGCCAGTTCTGTCCACAGTAATATTGCATTCACCCACTTGCAGAAGCCATTCTACAACTTTGGTCTGGCCACAACTGGCTGCAAAATGCAGGGGTGTAGCACCATCAAAATCTCTTTCATTTGGATTACAGTGGGCCTCTTGAACCTGCAACAAAAATACCTTCATTAGTTTTAACAGAAACAGATATTACAATGTACTTCTAATTTTTTAGCACCTTAGTTTAACCAGATTAATGATTTTGCCCAACAGAATTCAAAGTAAATATTAATTTACTCATATATCTCTGACCCAAGATTCAAGCATCAACTCTTTCATTGCTTTCATTTGCTTCTTAAATTTACAGTTTATGTAGAATTTGAATTTCTTTGATTTTTTATATAAAAATCATTGACAAACCAATAAGTATAAAGACTGAACTCACTCTCAATAGGTTAGCAGACTAAAACTTTAAGCAGGGCACAAACCCTGAATGCTTCTTGATAAACAAATCCTATTTATGACTCATGTTTACATATACAGTTCAATTTCTCTTGAATTGATATCAACTGGAGTTTATACACTTAACACTGCTACTTTAATAAGTTACTTCTACAATTATATATAAGTAAAATAAACTAAAAATATGTTTAAATTATTGTGTGTATGTAACCAAAATATTTTGATTAACTTTACATTTTTACAGTTTGTCAAGAAAATACTGTTCTTTTTGAAAAATTCAACACAATATTACTTTTTTTTTGTTTTAGAGCTGTTCATGTTCTATCTTTCATCTTCCGCGTTCAATTTTTTTAATCTTTAGATTTTTTATTTCATTTTCTGTAGGAAAAATCCAGAAGTCGCAAGTCTTTTACATTTTAGTCTTCCTAAGGTAGATTATAGTCACAAGCCTTGCAATTAGAATGGCAAATAACTATGTAACTCCTCTGATTCATTTATTGACCATATACAGGCTTTATTTATCTTTGTTCATGTATTGCTTCAAATATTTTCCCACGTATAAGCAATCTATTCCTTCCAACTTTGTGCAGATTTCTTGGTGACTCATGGAAAATTGACTATTTAAGTCTCATTCTTAAAGAAAATGTAAAAGTTTTATTAGTGACAAATTGACAATGTGCCAAATTCAGTGGCAGTGATATAATAACCCTATATACATACAATAATACATCTACACACACACACATATTTGAAATAAAAAAATTACTGAAACATATAATTGACGTTTTTTTTTTAATCATTTCACCCCAAGTAAGGTGGGAACTCCACTAGTATATAGGGGGTTACAAAGAGTGAAAGTGAGAGAAAAGACTGGGTATAGGTGGGATTGAGGAAAGGATAAAAGATGAACAGGATTCAAGATGATGATTGATGTTGCATTTAAATTTTTGTAGACTGTAGTTATTAGGGAAGCAAGTAAACAGAAGGTGCAAGAAAAGAAACTGTTAGAGTAGAAGTGGCAGTTATATTTAACTATTTCAACAGTAAAAGAGTGGGATCTAGATGCCAATCAAGTAGCATACTTAAATTCATGTAGTCGGGGCACCAGGGAAAAAAGTCTGTTAGAGCAGTTGCCATGAAAATATTTGAAGAAATGACAGAGGGAAGCCACATCACGTCTGTCAGAAAGTGACTGAAGTCGAGATGCCAAATCAGGATTGATTGCATCATAGATCTTTCTTTGGATTTTGTCAAGAACCTCAAGATGAATAGCAAGAGCACTAGACCAGATATGGGAACAGTATTCAATGCATGGAAAAATGGTAAATTTGTAAATGTGCAAGATGGACTCTGATGAGAAAACCTTCTGAAACAACACAGTGACCCAACTTTCCTTGCAGTAGATGCAGCGATCAATTCAATGTCGTATTTCCACTTCAAGTCAGTTGAAAATGTGAGGCCAAGAAGGTGCAGTGTGTCACTTTCCAGAAGTCTAGCCTCAGATATGTTGGTGGGGAGCAGGAAAGTTTCTCTATGATGGTTAAATGAGAGCAGTTTTGTTTTTGAAGCATTAAAATTTGCAAGCCATTTTATGCCCTAGTTAACCACCGATTGGGGTCCTTTTCAAGAGCAGTGACTAGGTTAACTTTGTCAAAATGGAAGCCATATTGTTTGTCATGAGAGGTAAGATGCTTAATCACTTCAGCATTGATCAAAGCTTCAAATACTTTGCTGAAAAACAGTAGGAGACTAATAGGGCAATAGTTAGAGGGGTGAGAATGTTCTCCAGTGTTCTTAAAAAAATAGAACTACAGAGGAGGGATTCCAACAAGCTGGAAAGCAGGAAGCAAAGAGGCAATAGTTGTAGAGTTTGCAGAGGACTGGAGCCAACTTGAGAGCACATTTCTTTAGAACAATGGTTGAGATCCTGTCACATATGCTTGCCTTATGGGAGCCTAATTTAAAAATGATGTCCAAGAACACTGATGGGGTTATGTGCATGTCACTTAGTAGAGCCTCTGTTCTAGGGGGTAATCAGGTGTGGGTACTCCAAATGAGTTGGAATAGAATTTCCAAATAAAGCATTCCACCCTATCTGCTGTAGATGTCAGGACTTTGAATTGATTGAATAGAAGAAGGATTGAGGATTTCTTGTTTTGTTCAGCACACTCTTGCAGAGCCACCAATAATCTCTAGAAATGGACTTGTGAGATGCTATATGTTATTTCATTCTATCAGCAAACAGTAAGTTAACTTCTTTGAGAACATGCTTGAGCAGAGACAAAGAGACGTCTGTTGCAATTAGACATGCCACTCTGGTACAGCCTAAAGAAGTGATTCCTGCAGGCTATAGCAGCTGAGCATGCAGATGAGAACCAAGGAGATAAATGTGGTTTAACTTGGTATTTCTTTGCTAGAAGGAAAGCATTGATGCTGGTTTTCACCCAGGAAGAGACTTCAGATGCACATTTTTTAACAGGATGATTAAAAAATTCATTACAATGGATGTCTCAAAGGAAATCATAGAATGAGTCCCAATCCGCTTATTGATAATGGAAAGATATTCTGTTGGTTGGAGGTTCTTGGCTCATTAGGAAGTGGAAAGAGATTTTTACAGACACTACTGCATGATCAGAGTTGCCAAGAGGTCAGAGCTGCTTAGTATGACATGAGTCAGGGATAGAGGTAAAAAAGAGATCTAGAAGAGAAGTGTGTCCATCAGGGTTACTGGGGAAAATCTGGGAAAGTCCACCACTTGCATGAGAGAATGAGTGATTGAGAAGTTAAGTGCCTGGATGCCAGTGAGGTCAGTGACAGAGTGTTTAAGCCACCTGGCATGGTGGGCATTAAATCACCAAACACAAATATATTTGCATATGGGTGTAGGGATATGTCCTTGTCTATATTATCAGAAATATTATCTAGCACACAACAGTTATGAGAGGAAGAGGAGCAGTAGAGAAAGAAGAGAAGTGGATTAAGTAGAGAGAGACAGAAACACATGTAAGAATGGTGTGGATATTCAAAGGAGAGTTCCCTAGCTTGCAGGAGATGTTTGCCAACATAAACTCCCAGGCCATGCATGTTTGACATTAGAGTCCTTCCTAAGGAGAGGAAGATAGCTATGAATCAAGAAATCAGAGGAGGGGATTGAAGAGTTAAGCTTAGTTTCACAGAGAGCTAGGTTGTCCAGAGACTTTTCAAAGAGGAGTGATTCCACACTGCAGAAGTTAGCACAAATACCACAAATGTTGGAGAAAGAAAGGTTGAGGGGTTTAGGTGTTTTTTGTTGAGCTGATTTAGTTTTATATCTTTTGTTGCTCATAGTCATGTTATTTTGGCAAAGAAAGGCTTAGTATAGTAGTAGCAGTTGGTTGTCTAATGTAACATGTACAGGAAGGGAACTGATCAGTGTGGCCTTGGGGTTGCCAACTAGAAGAGCATGCAAGGGCACCCTTCCATGCATGACATGGTATTGCAAGAACCCTGATATTATGCGACTGTTGATCAGAGCAGTCTCTCAACACACTATGCAAGAATTTGGGCTCCTAACTACCAGTCGGAAACAGCAACCAGAAAACTACCAACCCAGTCTTCTCAATATGAAGAGACATTGCCAACATCTACACATATCACAAGAAATTCATGACAGAACCACTATTAAGGCCTGAGAAAAAGAAATGAACCAGGAACCCCTTCCTAAACAAGAAACAAGGGATGAGCCTCTACTCCTGTTCAAGAGAAGGCAAGGAGTATGGACTGGGTGATAGGAAAGCCTATCTACTCATATTAGAAAAAAATTATTAAGTTTTAACTAAGTTAAATTTGAGAAAGTCCATCAGAAATTCAACAAAGAATTAAAACTGGCAGAGATCAACCTCTGAAAGAAATTTAAAAAAAAAGAAAAAGAAAAATAGTCCAAGGTTTGACTTCAAATTAAGCTATTTCAAAGAATGAACATTCAGATAAGTTATTTGGAAAGTTAATCTACTGCCCACTGAACTTTTTGACCATGTGACATTTAACTGACATTCTAGTATATTAGTGGGGATAGGAGATAATAGGTAGTAGGGGTCTGACTCTACAATCTTACAGGAGACACTTCAATTGCTTCTTTCCAATATTTAAATTTGACACTTTATGGACAGATCAGGCTGACTTGATTTCAGTGATGTTTTGGTACAATTATGGCAACTTTGAAGTGAATTTTTCTGATTTCCAAGGCTGAAAACATACAACTATGTCTCACTTGAGATGGGTGGTGATGATAAGGGAGGGGTTGAAGGGTCAATTTTCTTAATCTACTAACCTTTCTTCCATTTCTGTCAAAGGAATTCAAGTTATTCCCAGATACCAAGAACAACCAATCAACCACAAATGGGTGGCACTTGAAATAATACATATATGGACACACAATTGAATGAAACAAATTAAAATAGAAGTTTATTAAGTTTTAACTTAGTATAAATCATAATATCCACTTTGTTGGAAAAATGTCAAGTCAAATTTCCTGTTTACCACTCAGAATAGACTCCCATTAAAATGTAATATTGAGAATTAACACTAAATTAATGTACAAGCACTTTATGCAGATGTGCCCACATGCACACAAGTATATATGTGTGTGTGTGTGTGTATATATATATATATATATATATATATATATATATATATATATATACTGCTGAGGCAAATATTAAGAGAAA